CAGCTCAGGGGGTACAGAAATTGGTCAGGTGGGTCCCCGATATTTGATACTCAATGTCTCGCACGGTCGCACCTGGGCTGTGAAGGAGAGACCCCCAACTCGTAGCTTTGGCCACGGGGGGGGAGGCACCCCCTGCCCCCACCCTAGTTACGCTACTGATGCTACCCTCCCTGAGTTTCATTCTCCGCCACGGCGATCGCAGCACGAGCGCTTCTCTCCAAAGTTTCGATACTGATGTCTCGGCTTGTGTAAATCCACTGCTGAATGATGAAGGCCGCTCCGTGCCGTGTCGATTATGTTTGACCATAACTCACCACGTCGGCGAACGAGGAGGAAAGTTGGCGGTAGGATGGGGTGCAGGACCGGTTTTAGAAATCACTCGCCACTGATGTTAGCCGTGACGGGAAATCAACTCAGGTAGCCGGGGTTCATAGTGCAGTGCGCGGACCAAGCAGCCTCACACCATGGCCGTATTTACAGGAAAAGTTGTGGTGCGTCTATAAAGCAAATCGGTAGATGGATGTGACCGGATATGTATCGCTTTGTTGACATCCGGCACAGGTTGGGGGTGCGTCTTAGTCTCCAGGTCGTCTTATATAACGGAGACTACGGTAATAGATTATCTCTCTTGTTAATTGCTGCTTTTCATTGGGCCTGGCTTGAGCAACTGCGATTATAATAATTAAGCCTTCCCGGTGTCATACAAGTCAGTAGCTTCTCACACTCACGCGTGCAGTGCCGGGCATTTGTATCTAATTGGCACATCTCGAGAAGCCTGCCTGATGAAAGTGGGACCCCAATTAAATTAGCAGATGAATGCAATTGCAAGAGGTGGCTATTTAATTGCTCAGCCAAATCTCTTCCATAGCCAAAGGAACATTGGGCTTCGTTTCTCGTGCGGCTTCGTTTGATCAAATAAGCAACGAGGCCGTTCTCATCTTACGGTTGCAGCCCTGCGCCAGTGGTGGAAATTCCTCATTTATACGGCGGGGCCGAGTGTCCCCAAATGAGAAGCGCTCTTGATTTTCCAGGCAGGTGGTGATCATGTTATGGACTCTAGAGGAATGCTGAGCTGAGTCAACCCCAAACCAGGATTTAAACTCGCAACCAACCGATTGCGAGGCGCGCTCCCCATATTACTGAGCAATGTGGCCGGCTATAATAATACTAATCGTGACGAGAGATGGTCTATCTACTGCTGGATGAAGGAGGCTTGCACATGCGTTATTTTTGTTAAAGGGTTAGGAAAAAGAAGAGGCATAATTACAGGTCGCAGGTTTCGTAGCGCAGGAGTGCAGTTCGTGGTCTTAGCGTCACGTGCACGGCCCGGGCTACCAATCTAATGCTAGATGAGAGCCTCCCCATGCCGTGTTGGTCATGAGGATTATTTGACCATACTTCATCACGTTGTTCAGCGCGGGCTGATGAAGGGAGGTGGTTGTGGGTGGCGTGTTGGGGAGGGGGGGGGGGAGATTGCGGGGGGCGGTACTGGATCGGTTCAGATATCACTCGCCACTGACGTTAGCCGTGAGTGGCTGAGCATCGAACTCCTCAGGGTCCCCAGGTTCATAGCACTGCGGTGGCCTTAATAAGTCGCTCAGCGAACAGCCCCTTGCACAAAACAGCATGCTTACAGGCGCCAGGGGGTGCATTTGTTGTTACGCGTGATATAGATCTGTAACCTGGAGCAGCGTGCTTTGTTTCCTCGCGTTCAATTAAGCCAATTAAGGCTGACAGAGCGGATGGGAGGCGACGTCGATTTAACGATGAACAGCGTTCGCTCCTCCAGGCGAGACCCATGTTCTCCCTTCCCAAGGCTGCCTTTCACCTTCGCTCCGGCATTTCAAGCTAAGCAGGCATGGAGAGGCCTGATCAGTTGCGGTGCTGTACTTGATCGGGAGCATCGCCCGGGGTGCCAACCGAGGTCTTGTGTCAGCTTGCGATGTCATCACGACGCGGCGGACATGATGGTACTGCAGCGATGGATTGCTGAATCTATCTGTGCAGCGTCTTTAATGCAAATCTCCTTCAAATTACGCGTGGTGGGTTTTCTTCGGGCACTTTGGTCTTGGTCCCACATTCATTCAAATGCGGAAGCCATCCTGAAAAAAATATAATTGTCTTGAGATTCGGACAATTGCTTGGAATTTAAAATGAATTGGCATTGCTAGGCTGGACTGGTCATCGTATGCCTGAGCAAGTTGTTGCATTTTCCACATTTCATTGGCAGGCGGCTCCAGTTACTCAGCGGGGGTTGATGAGACGCTACATGCGCCTTGACGTTAGCCGTCGCCGGGAATTTAACTCAGGTTCTTGCCAGGATCATCGCGTAGTGCGCGAACACATCTGCGCCACCACTTCCCCCTCACCCACCCACCCCACCAAAACGTACGAGTATATAATAGACAATAATATTTTCGCGATGTAAAGGAATCCGATAGTGGTTGCGTTATAAATAGACTGGCCATAGGGACGAACAATTTTGCATCACGGACGCTGTTCGATGTCGAAAAGGTTAGGGGGTGGTGGGGGAAGGGACACTCACGCCAAATTATATCTGCACGCCTGAGGATTTTGGACTGATTTGATCTTCATATTTGAGCCTTCCTGCGGGCTGTTGAAATGAGAAGCACCTCCAAGCACTGCCCGCTGATGAATTATTTCCTCCAACAAAAGTGATTAGCTGTGCAACTTGTATTCCGCTGCTTTCCAACAACAAAGCCAATAATTACTGGTAAGCTTCCCAAAGCCACCGCTCAATTTAAGTTCAAGTAATGGCTTGCACAATCACGTTGACTGTGCCTGCTGTTTTTTGTTGTTGTTAATATAAACAATTACGTGGTGTTGACATTTAAACAGTTTTTTTTAAACACCGCGTCTGGCAGTGGGTGTACAAGCACAGATAGCAAACCTCAGGAATACTGCCATTCGAGGTAATATATACATATGATGACATATGATATATGATGACATATGATATATGATGACATATGATATATGATGACATATGATATATGATGACATATGAAAGGCGACTGTTTCTGCCATGAATGAGGGCCATTGCCCGAAACATTGCCTACGATATATGTTTGTCCTTTTAGGGCCACCGTGTAATGGACGAACGTGCTTTGTGATGAAAATGATCGTTGTGTCATTTACATTGCCATCAGTAATTGATGGCGTTGACTCTATCCGTGAAAGACTCACTGAGCCCCAAAGCCCCCTCTTTCAAGAGGCTCCCTGCTATATTTGGCTGTTTGGCTAATATCTCGACACTATCTCTTCCACTAACTGGAGTAGCCAGACAATACCCACCACGCACACGAGAGGAGAACACGATACGATTCGCAACAGATGGGTCGATGAACCCACTTGCTGCACTGTCATCCCCGGATCACGTCGCAGCCCTGAGGGGTTTTAAGAGTGTGACAAATCTCTACGTGATCCACCAACCCTTGCCACGTGTCCATGTACAGAAGGGAGATATGGATAGGTGCGTCGCAGGACTGTGCCCTGTAAATAACGACGATGATAATGATCATGATGATCACGAATTTCCAGATATTGATTTTCCAACGCTGTAATCGCAACTCTTTCATCTCGTGACCTCAAGCAATCGGAAAATTGGTTCTTATCGTCACCGTTGCCACATCTCTGACGTCCGACGAACGTGCTTAGAGGATGCCGTGCGTTCATTACATCGTCCTGAAATAGAACAGGCGCTAATGGTTGCTAAATGACGACCTCGTTGGCTCGGGGCTCGTCCCGTCAGGCGAGAGGCGGTGTGACGGGGGTCAGATCGGTGCGAGCAGAGGAACGGGGCACACCGAGCGGCGCAGTTGCGTCGCGAGAGAGGGAAAGGATGACGAAGATGAATCCGTGCGCGTGTGTGGATTCTGTAATGCTTTCTAAGATAGCTTTGTGTGCTCAGAAACATATATTGTGCAACGAATGAATGAGTGGGTATTCACCTCGTCTGACATGTGATTCAAAAACACACCACTGTATTGACGCTGGAAAGCGCTCAGAATTGCTTACGGAGACAGAAAGAGGATCTCCGCACGTTGAAGGCATCGCTGACTGCGAAAGCGAGTAAGTGTGCTTGTGCAGGACGCGCCACTCGAGAGGATGACGAGGGGTGGTCGATAATAACGCAAGGGTGGTGGTGGCAGCACAAGGGAGGGAACGCGGCCGAGAGGACATCATCCACAGAGGAGATGGAGCCATGGGATTGTCTCGTATGCAGATGCTCGGTGGCTTATTACTGCACAGCATTGTGACAGATGGCGATGGCCATGGGAGGCTTTCGTCAAGCAGTGGATTGAGCATGGTGATGATGTTCGTAACCATATATTACCTCCGGTCGTGGTCACGGTTGTGATGATTGGTTCAATCTCAGCCCCCCTTGGTTTTCTATCTCGCAAAGGACGAGTTATCGATCGATGTTAACTTCCTGGGAACACTCTCCACATCACTTTTTCTCAATCTCTCTCCCTTGGTCCCCTCGCCCACAACCACCCCCCCTCGTGCTATATCCGCCTGCCGTGTCCCTCTCCCTCTTTCACCCCTCCCCCCCCCCGTCCGCCACCTCCCCTCCTTCGCCTCTCTCTCTCTCATCTACCTAATTTCCCACTCCTACACAGGGCACGCGCTCTCTCCTCGTTTCTCCATCTCTCCCTCTCTGCTTACAAGTGCGAGCTGCGAAGAGGTGGGCGCTGCTCGCGTCTAAATTTTATCTATCTCTGTTATCGCTCCCTCCATTTGGGGGGGGGGGTGGAGGGGGTGTAGGGGGTGAGGCAGCGAGGGGGGGAGGGAGAGAGGGAGGACGGGCGGGCGGGAGCTGCGCGTCTCTTGTCGTAGGTTGGCACTTCGAGCCGCGCTTACCCCCTCGGTGTTACGCGCGCGGGTGCGTGGCGGGGCTTTCCCGGTTACTCCTCCTGTTGGTGGAGGCTTGTTCTTGATATTATTTTATTTTTTTCTGGATCACCGCGCCAGCCCGACCGCTGATGACCGCGCCGCGATTCGTTCCCCGCTCCGCCCGGCAGCAGCAGGGAGACTCCGAGAGCAGCACGCGGCTGGTGAAGCTCACGTCCTGGAGGCAACCACGGGTTCCACGGGGAGGTGGAGACAAGGAAGAGCGACGTCGCTGTCGCGTCCAAAGGTGAGAGAGGACTCGAGCACGAGTCGGTGAGGACTCTAGGGTAGCGCTGTGAGTTAGCCGCGGGGGAAACTCATTCGCGCCGCGCCTTAGGGGTGGTTGGAGGTCACACAGATTGAGACCGGCATCGCATGAGAACCTGGGTTCGAATCCCGGTTTTAGTCGCCCGTGTTTTAAGCTCGGGTTTAAAGTAAAGCGGAGCTGACGGTGGGCTCAGCTCGGGCAGCGATGGCTGCGCACAAAACGGCACGCCACGTTGTGCTCCTCGATGTGTTCTCGGGTTGTGCCGCGGTGTTGTTGCGAGTGACATGCGACGTTTTGCCCACACTTGTTGGGAGCTTCAGTCCCTAATTAATTTGGTGTGCGCAGCTTGACCGCGAGAATCAAGGCGGCAGTGCGTTCATCTTGGTTTTTGACCTGCGCACGTGTGGCTCAATTCCATCTCGGGGAATTGCAAGCTGTCAAGCAGGTCCCCCTCTGCGCGTTTCCTCGCCTCGTCGCGCGAGTCAGAGAGGGCGAACAAATAGCTCACGGATGGTGTTTGGAGGCGTGCCACTGTTTGCACCGGTCGTTGTCCCATCCGTCTAAAGCAGTGAGTGCTTCTTAACCTTTTCTGACGTCTTGCACAATCGTACAAAACATGTTTAATGCTAATAAACACGCAGGGTTCGATGAAACAACGTAGTTGTATTTACGTACCCGTGCTTTATTTGTGTTTCGATGATTTACCTTCTCAAAACAATAATCTGGCCATGTCTCGCATCCCCAGAAAGGGCATTTCGCACCCACAGGGGGTGCGTGCCACCCAGGTTGAGAACTCTGTTGTCTAAAACAATTGGCCGCGTGCGCGACCCGAAGACACATGTATGGGTAGAACTTTTTCCGGATGGTGGGGACTGCTAAAGACCCCGACCCCCAAATTCCCCGCCGCCACCCCGCCCCCCGCTCCCCTTGCCCGTACGCAAGGCAACGAAGACTATGATTATCATTTTACCAGGTAAAGCCCACTGAGCTACATAGCTCTCTTTGCAGAAGCGACCTGGCCACAAATGACAGCTCAACGAAGTGGCTTATCACGTGGCAATTTATAGCAGCCAAGCACTCTAAACGCGTGATGCTGTTTCTAAATGTGGATGAAAAAAACCCCGAGGATCCCGAGAAAAATCCACGCCACCACGTGGGGGAGGGAGGGGGGGGGACATGCAAACTTCACACAAACAGACGCCACGGTCGGGATAGAACCAACGACCTCCTGTATACCAGGTGAGGGAGTTAACATCTGGCGCCCTGGGAGGCGCTCGCCACCTGCACGGGGGAAGGATGAGGAGAGAGGAGTGAGTGCCGTGTCCATCTCCGTGGGGGGGGGGGGGGGGTGATGCACAGGTGAACTGCCGCGTTCACCGAACAGGCGACAGGCGCTGCGCGTTTCTTTTGCGCAACAGCCGCGCGCATCAACTCCGAGGCCGTTTCCGATTGCGTTATCTCGACCGCACGTTGCGATGGACAGTTCTCGTAAATAGAACGACAGGGGCGTGGTGGTGGTGGTGGCGGTGGCGGGAGACAGTCGCATTTCCGATGCTTGATATCATTTGGCTCGTAGGGCTTTTACGAGTTCATTTGTTTTCGTTATTGCACAAACAAGCTCGCGCAGCAGACGCGCGTGTTGTTTGCATTCGCTGGCGAAACTAAACAGCGAGTGTGTGCAGAGATCAACTCCACTGTTGTATCATGTGCATAGGTGTATGCACATACAAATGTGTATTAATATACACCTACGTGTGGAGCGGTGGTGCAGTGATTAGCGCATTGACAAACTCACCCGATTTATATTCCCCAGCCACAGATAACGATGCAAGTCACATCTGAACCGGTGCAGATATCAACACTTGTGCGCCGACCATCATCCCCTAGGTAGACTCAGCCTTAAATTAGTGCCATGGTGCGGTGTGTTAACGTCAACACAAATGCTCGTACATAGCAGTTTGCTCAAACATGTTATAAGGCCTTTATCTTCACATCGACACACACGCGATGTATACGTGCGTCTCGAATGCAGCGACTGCATTTAAAGCAATGCGTGACTGCACCCGCTATTTTTAGATTGCAGAGTTCTTTGATTTTCAGATATATTAAAAGTCCACAATTACACATTAAGGTTTTACCACGCACATTGCAATGGTGTGGCTAGACTGTGGCTTTGCTTTTGAGTGTGTAGGCGGTGGCAATTGCATCAGACTCCATGGGCTGGTGGGGGTGGGGGGGTATAGTTCAGATCGCAGTGAATCGCGAGTTCAAATTACAGCCAGGTTCAACGATGCCCCATCATAATTACAATCACCATCATCATTATTATTCTAACAGTCGGATGAAAACACAATGAGACTGTGCCTGCACCACCAAATGGAAAGTCGACTGTGGTTGCCTCTACTCCGTAGGGTTTTCGCGCGTTGGGCTGTTTGTGTGTACGCATGTTGAACTTCTTTCGCACCGTACGCGGCCAACCGTGCTAATTGTAGAGCTCTAAGCATGATGTCCGGCGTTTACATCAAACGTGCAGCACGTAAATAATTTCCCAAACAAGCTCCCGGCACGCGGTGCGAAACGTCGAACACCGTACCCAGCGGACTGCACGTGGCACAAACCGAAAACACGTGGGACGCCGTTGCTCTGCCCGACGGACCGTTCCTCGTCGTGGGAATGTGGAATGCTCGCTTCGGCTTTGTGGAACCGCTACCGCTTGGAGATAAGCAGGTGCGCGCTCAATGCTCGACACACGTGTTACAGGCGAATACTCATTTCTGTGTGCGATGTCTCTCGGCGAAATCTGTGTTCATGTCTCCTTCATCACCAGCGATGGTGCGAATCGTAAAGGTGACGTGTCGTGGTTAGCACGATTTGACATTTTCTTTATTTTTAAATCCGTGTTATTGTCGTTTTTTTCTTTTTTCATATCTTCAAACAGTAAAGAGACCAGATTGTTTTGCAGCAAGTACGTGCACTCGAGAGATCATAAGTTCGAATCCAGGTTTGAGGCACCTGTGATTCAACTCTCGTGTATCAAGAGAGTCGATGGCCTCAGCCTGGCCACCAACAATGCAAAGACAGAGACCCCCCGTAGAGGCCTGCCACAGTTTTGGGGCAAGTGCTGTTAGCGAGCTCCTATGGGCACGTCACACGAGGCGGTGGGTGACCAACAACTGCAAATACAAATATCCCCCTATATATATATAGCCTTGACAGACTTTTGGGGCAACTGCTGTTAGTGAGTTCCTATGATCCTATGACCCTCTGTGTTGTATTACATTACATTTCGATATTTTACTAGGTTATTGAATTTTAGTTTGTCCTTCTCCTGATTTTCAGAATTGCTTGCTGTGTCATCGCACTTGCAGAACCTTGTTTTTTGACCACTCATTGATATGCAAATGTTTTCTCTAATCCCCTCCCTCTCTCTGCCTCCTCCCCCCTCTGTCTATTTAAGGCCACCCCACAGAGATGATCACCCCTCTCTGTTACCTGTGTTGCTCCTTCTATGTATCTTGGTGATATCTGTCTGCTAATATGTCTGTCTATAGTTTTCTGGTTAGATTTTATGTTGCTATTTCATTATACCTGATGATTGCTTGTGTTGCAATCGAAACGTCGTATGCTATTATTTAATTTAATATTTTATCTTTAGACGTGACTTAACCGAAAGAACCAAATAATAATTCCTGCAGTCACGAAAGTTCTAAAATTAAGATTGAGTTCCTATGAAGACCGGCACATCACACGAGGGGGGTGGGGGGCAACTACAGCACGCACACACACTCTGTCAGCACCATCTCACAATAGTTAACACTGTGGCCATTTTATTGTACAGTATTTAATCCATATTATTGGTTCTTTCGGTAAAGTCACGTAGAAGGGAAATAATAAAATAATAAATATCTAAAACAATACAATTCTCACGAAGTTTTATATTTGTATTATTTCCCTTCTAGGTGACTTTACCGAAATAACCAAGAATATTAATTCCTGCAGTCACGAAAGCTTTAAATCAAGTATTTAATCCATCAAACATGTGTAGTGATAGGGTGCCATCTGTTGACCAGGAGGAATAATTACGGGTATGGGTGCGCTATATAATAGCCAACCATAAGGGGGGCATAACTGGGCTAAAGATCAGAGGTGGGGATCAGTCGGGAAGCTCTGAGAACCTGCACGAGAGTTCTAGAAGGGGACGTGGCCAGAGGCGGGGCTTGGCCACGACGAGGAGTATATAAGGGGGACGTGACTGGAGGTTCGGAGCTGTCGTGGGGGTATGGGTTCCGACTGCCATTGCTGTCTTCGCAGTCATCCCTTCTTCATCGTCCGGCCGTATGGCCGATCCGCTGTACGGTTCCCATTGTCGTCGTGGCTGTATTAGTCAACATGCTAGAAAGTTAGATGCCAGCAATGGGGCTGTATGAGTGGATCATCTATACATAGCCCGATATATATATGTCGCTCAGTGATTGTGTGCTAATTCACAGACACTAGTAGGAGGTATTCTCTCTCTCTTTTATTCCAGCCTTCACAGTCTTAGGGGATAACTATGTACCAGGTCGGGACAGCCAACACGCTGCCAGACCCACAGCTTATAGGGGGCGAAGATCACGACGACGACGGCAACGATGAGTTCCACTCCAGATCGCAGCAGCCCCGACTACGAGTCAGAGCTCGCCTTTTATCCTGAACAGCGTGGCCAGGCTCCATCATTGGCCCTGCACTCCTCTGGATCCCCCAGAGGGCTCTGTGCCTTGCCCACAGGTAAAATTTATAGAACGGACTGTTTCCCCTAATTCTATTGTCTACTAACCTCCCAGCGGCATGCGCTACAGTGACTCATCAATGTCACTACATTACCCCCCGCCCCCCCCCGTGAAAAAAAACCAGCCGTCTCGGCTGACCTCCATACGTCGAGTGGCGGGATGACGAACACCGCAATATCCACGCAACATTCGCAATGCATGGCAACAATC